GAGAAGAGCATAGTAGTAAGATGGAGGACACCTTGCACCTCTGTGGTCCTTGTTCGCTGCCATATTTGTTGTTTCTTTGTCACCAGTTTGACCGGCCCATAGGGTGACACAACAGATTATGCAACTGTTCGCACTGAAGAACCAGTTATGCACAAATGGCACCAGATTTGGTGTTCAGGAGCCTTGTTCTAGTGGAAACGCAACACTGGTACAAAGTCATGTTTGAGAACTAGGAAGGGTTCCAGTCCGCCATGGTAGAAAAGTCCTGTGAGGAAGTCCAACATGGTGACCAACCCAAACGCACCTCCAAGACGACCACCACCTTGCTCAAGAAACTGGTAAAGGTAAAGGTGTTGGAGGCCAATCATGTCCTCTGACCATAACCCTATTGAGCACCTGTGGGATTTTCAAACAGAAAATGAAGGAACAAAATTACATTGTTATGGAGGAGTTAAAGAGGATTCCAATGGCAGCCTGTGAAGCCCTAGTGAAGAGCCCAAGAGTTATGGCAGTGCTGGACAATAATGGCGGCCACACAGAATATTGTTTTTGTGGCCAGCAGATTAGATTTTCATGGCTGTAAGTAGAGTTACTTTGAAGGGACAGCAAATTTATGCTATTGTACAATCTGTACACCGACTACTTTACATTGTAGCAAAATTTATCAAAGACCGTAAGTAGATGACAGAGCATTTTAATCACAAAACAAACAGACCTGCAGAACGGCAAAGAATGATCATGCATTTCTCTTCTCACCGGGTTTCACCATGACTGTGGAAAGCTACGGTATTCATGAGGCCCATTCAATTGGTATCAAGCCCCAAAGTCTGCAATCAAGTGGAAATGATTTTGAAAGAACAAGTCAGTTAGAATTGCTACAACGAAACCCTCTCTTGAACCAAACATGAAATTTTTATGTTCCGCTAACCGAGGGAAAGCAACAGCACTCACAAGCCCCTTGCCCCACTCGATGCCACGGGGCGCAGAGGGAACGCTTGCTAGAGAGCACAGGACAAGACGATGTGCAAGGAGGCAGAAGAAGCAGCGTTTCCTCACTTGTTCCACTAGCAGCCGGGGAAATGGAAACCAAAAGCTTCTCACTGGTGGAGTGTGATAATATAAACACAGTGTCAACACAAAAGCAGTGTGGCTACGAGAGAGGTGTCTGGGGTTGTAGATGTGTTGGGCGCAACATAAACCAAAGTCAAACCAAATGATTTTGCAAAAAGCGAAGAGTAGTGCTCATAGAAACATATAAAAACATTGTTTATCTTACAGACTGGATCAATGTTGGTTTCTAAGACAACAGATGGGCAATCGTAGCCTAAGTGCTAGTAGGACTGATTGATTTCTTTAATATGGATGGTAATGGGAACTTTGTGGCAATCAGAGAAATTGATTTTTGGATCTGTTAGGTGTATTTGTTTCAAGAATGTGTCGTCTGAAAAAAAAATACTATTCAGTTGTCATGGAAATAGTCTACAGTGAAGGACATTCAAAACAACTTCTGGCATGCTCAAGTCTACCTGTCTAACCTAGTTCACCCTGAGATAAGAACACACAATCCACAGATAAGTCTCTAGAAAGCCTAAGATCTTTTCATGGGACCTGAAGCAAACTCTTGCTTCTTTCAAAGTTCATGCCTCCACTTTCAACTACACAAGACTTCCTCTGGGCCCCGCAGGCATGCCAGGAGACCAAGGCAGTCCAAATATTTGCTGTACCCAAAGGCCTGCCCAGGACAAAATTTATTTTTGTTCTCATAGTTTTATACTTGAAAATGTTCTGTGTTTTTCATGCCTTTTCAAATAATCTCTTTTTTTTGTTTGTTTTGCAGTTTGTCAAAGTGCATCTTTAAGTGTGAGTGTTTAAAAAAACCCTGCCTAGAGAACAAATACTAAGTCCAGATCTGCATGTACAAAACAAATTAAAAATTAGTTTGTTTGTTTTTTTTTGTTTTTTGTTAAACCTGCATTAATGAACTGCCTTATTTGTTCAGTATTATTACTTAAGTAAGGCATTTTCTAGGCTTTTTTCTTTTACTTTGTTTGATTATCACAGCAATCACAGTGTTTTAATTGTACATAAACCATCAAAAGCAGAGTAGATCGATTCTGTTAAAGAAATACTCCTTCAAGTAACCAAAAATGCAACATGTTATAGTATTATATAGGGTATCTAATAGCTGATGTTTTGTATGACAGGATGATTTCAGGTGTATCAGGAGGAATTTAGCAGTAATGAAGATCCAGGGCTGCAGCCTGTCATTGGACAAAAGCCCTTTAACGTTCCCAGTCATAACGTCTATGCCGGCTTGTGCTCAATCACTTTGCTCTAAGCGATCCAGATGAGCCATTCGGTGATGAAGATCTCTCCTTCCCTGCTTCCAGTATGGAAGACGGAGACACCATTTGTCACAGGAAGTAATATTTCAACAGCAGAATGTGATTCGCAGTGAGAATAAAAAAGAACAATGGTGTCGTTAAAGTGAGATAGATAAAGGCTAGTGGACCTGTGGCAACTGGCGGTTCTCAAATTTTGAGGTTTGTCCATCAGTAGGTTAATTAATTGAGACTTTCTGTGTGTGTGTGTGTGTGTGTGTGTGTGTGCGTGCGTGTGTAGGTTCATTACAGTGTTTTACTGTGTTTACTGTCTTTAATATTTAACAAGTGGCTTTGTGCTGTTGGTGGTAGCAGTTTTTAAGCTGGTTAAAATGGCTCTTTGCCCTGGGCACCACCGTGTCAGGGAGAGGCATGAAGGCAAAAGAGAGAGAAAATGTCAAATGTAAAACAAAAGAGTTTTCCATGATTTAACTGCATCAACATGGAGTTGATGCTCCTTCGCATTTGATCCTGAATGGTGATTGGTTTGTTTGAGTTTAATGAAACCTTTATTCCAAAAGCAAAGAGACAAACTTTTGTCCTGAGCGGCATTCACACACTGCAAAAACACAAAATCTTACCAAGTATTTTTAGTTTCTAGCGCAAATATCTTAATACACTTGAAGTGAGACAAAATAACTTAAAAGTAACCTTTAAGCAGGATATAAGAGCTCGTTTTAAGTAAATGATTTCTTAATATTGATGAAAAAGTACTGGTTCCATTAGCAGACTATTTTACTTATAACAAGACATTTTCCCATGTTATAAGTGAAATAATCTGTACTTTTTCATCAATATTAAGAAATTATTTACTTAAAACAAGCTCTTATATCTTGCTGAAAATCTACTTTTAAGTTAGTTTTGTCTTATTTCAAGTGTAGTAAGATATTTGCACTAAAATCTACACCAAAAATACTTGATAAGATTTTGTGTTTTCATAGTGCATGAAGCATACTGCTGGTAAATTATGTTCAACACAACTCATATATTCACACATCCTATTTATATTACATGTAGCAAACATAGAAATACTAATCTGAGTCTAATCAAACAATAAACATAAAAAAATATTAGCATCAACAAGTAGTTGAGTGGAGCCCCAGTATTTGCAAACCACAGTTAGCCGCAAATAGCTAAAATACTCAAAACTCCCCTCTAAAAACACGTGTAGCTACTTACTTTAATAGTTCAAAAACAAAACACACCTTAATATGCATTCATACACATAGTGAAAACTGTCTTAGAGTTACAGCATATGCTAACACAGTCTTCTTTATCTTTGGTCTTTGGGTTACCTTCATTGGCACAGACAGAGTGTCTGCATATAGCAGCATGTGATCAAAAAACATCATCATTGGACATAGTTTGTGACATTTAAGTAGCATGTGTATATGGTTTTTATTAAATTACTTTTATTATCAGTTCTGCATCCAGTATCTCTGCTGCAGGATTTTTCAACATGTCCAATAAGTTATAGAAGCATAGAGGGAGATCAAACTACAGGCAAAGTAAATGTTACAGCAGGGGATGCACACTTCAATAGAGGTGATGTGGAAATAAAACTGCTCTGAAAACCCACCATTCACTCCAAAATGTTCATGTAATCCAAGAAGGCAGTTTGATTAGATATGAAGTCGGTAAGATATCTGACACAAATTTGAAGTTAAGTACCTTAAGAGCTTGGCTGAAGATATGGAGCTAATCTTTTGGGATGAGCGTTTCTAAAGTAGAAGCTTTCTTTAAAACTGAAAACAAAAGACAGCTTAAAGGAATCTGGAAATCCATCCCCTGCACCTTTCCTGGTTTGCTAACATATCCATGATGATGTAAAAATACAGTGCTCTTAAAATGTATTCAACAAAATTAGTCTCTTGATAAAAATCTCTTCTTTCATGTTAAATATTTTTTATTAATTGTCATTAGTTTATAGAGTTTAGTTTTCAATTTAACTTTGCGAAATAAAAGTAACACATCCAACGGGTTGTATGCTTTTTACAGGTATTGTATTTCATCTTCTTCAAACGTATTGATGTATTTCTGCCCTTTGCAGAAAGGTTTTTTTTCCCCCACCAATTTTTAAATGTAAAACGATACATTTAGAGCAGAAATTGCAGCTGCATGAATACTTGATGAGGCTGCTCAGGCTGCATTGGAGGAGGAGATAAATCACGGCACAGCTGACGGAGCACTTATGGAAAAAGAAGAGGGTTGTGCCCAGAACCCTACTGACGTACCGACACCAGATTTTAAGTTGATGGTTGGGAGAGATCAGCCTCAACAACAAGTGGTTGGATTTCTATGGAACGTTTCAGAATAGTTGAAAAGAAAGCTTCATCAAGAGCAAGGTGTAAATTCTAGTTAGAGTTGAAACCAGACATTTACGTACACCAAATAATTTCCAAAAGTATTGCTATTATTATTATTCTAAGCAAATAGATGTCCTGTTGGTTATTCTAAATGGAGTATATTGATATAAGTGATCAGATTTCAATCATATCTCCGGTTGTATACCATGAAAGCTTCCCATCCCATCCTGCCCATCCTCCAACAACAACTTTGACTTCACCTTGATTAAATCTAATTTAGGCCTCTTTAACCTTTCATCTCTCGCACCTCTAGGGCCTCCTGGGACTCGTCCCACTCCAGGGTCGCCATAGCAACAGCCATAGCCACTACATCCCCTTGACACAGGGAGCAAATTGGGTCCACCAGTGATTGTGAATCTTTAATCACCCCCTCCCTAAACCCCCCAAGGGCCTCTCTCACCGTCAGTGGGCGCCATGGAAACAACACTCCGCTAGGTTCCTGTTCATAAACGCCACTGAGGTTGGGCTGCAGGTAACCAATGTTTATCTTTGAAGTGATGAATTATTTGTTTATTCGGCTAAAAAGCAGCGCTTGCATAATCGCCATAAATCTGTAAAGCCACGGCAATCTGTCAGGCTCCTTTGAGCATCGCTGACGGCCAAAACTAATCAGAGGAATTGAAAAAATTCGAGAGCAACGAAGCTCTTCATTTACCAAACGAACACAGACGACGTAGAGCAAGGAGGTGCTCCTTAAAAACACGGCTGCTTCCAATTGGCTGCAATGTATTTTAACTGAATATTTATGTGACGTCGAGGGAAAATAAAACTTGGTTTTCATTTTGTTTGCCCAAACATTTGAAGAGTAGTACTTCTTAATTAAGCCCCTTTTACGATGCTACCCCCAAAAAAGACTAAAGTCCTGTGGAACCAATCAGAAGTCATCTAGTCGTCTGCCTGAACGTATTTTAATGGCGGACAGTCTAAGCTAAAAGCTGAAAGGCTGGAGAGAGAAATGGTCAATAAATCTGACCTTCACGGCAGAGTAGCACTTAATTCCACATTTGGTTTTAACTTTATATAGTTTGTTTCTTTTATGCAATACTTGTAAAATGTTTGACAAGAAAAACGTGAATTGTGTCGCATACGAATAAACTTTATTTTATTTGCAGCACGAGCTGCGACAAAACGGTCCAGATTCACGCGTTAGAATGGCCTAGTCAAAGTCCAGACCTAAACACAACTGAGAATCCGTGGCAAGACCTTAAGATTGGTGTTCAGAGAAGCTTTTCGTGTTTGTCTGGAAGCTCCGCATTTTGTTATAATAGAAATAAAATCTGTTATTATTATCGATATCGATCCAACGAAGCTCAAGCTGTTTTTCAAATATGTGCACAAATTGTGGAAAAAATAAATAAATAAAACCTTGTTAAAAAAAGAAGTATATTGTTTTCCTACCATCTTTATGCACTTTAACATAAATGCCAACAAAATCCATCGAAGCTCATCGTTATAAAGTGACAAAATGCAAAAAAGGCTCAAAGGGGCATGAATTATTTTTAAAACAACCTCTGAACATGACTAAGACATAAACCTGTCGTAATAATCAACTAATCAATAAGTTGGATCATATATTAAAAAGATGATTCATATTTTTTGAAGGACAGTTTTGTTGCAGAGACTTCGCAATCCATTTTATTATGGTTTCAGTTTTTTGTCGTTTTTATTTCCTTTTTTTATTTTTTGTGCTTGGTTGTGTTAAACTCTGGATATTTAAAATGTAAAATGTTAAGATTTAAAAATTAAGGTTTGGATGTTATAAGTGCATTATTACCCCGTGTTGAATATTGTTTTCATGTTGACTTCCTGTTGTGGGCGGAGTTTTGCGCAGGTGACATCGTTTCTCAATAAAAGGCCACAGGTCGCTCTGATGAGCACTGCACTCAGGCCAAACGCATCTGGTGGCTCTGTGGGTTGATTTCCTCCGTCCGTCCTCGGCATTTCCAGCCCTTTACTAATGGCAGCGTCTACACCCCGCTATCATAGCATTACTTCAGAATGATCTCGAAATACCAATATCATCGCTTGTCGTAATCGTTTCCAGGACGATTTATCGTCATCCTGACGGGCCTTCTGAAAACATTGTGCTGATGTAACATGGCTGCCGTCAGGAATGCTCAGTTTTTACAAAACCACCATCGCGATCGCTCTGCAAGCCTCTTATTAGAGATCAGATCATATAGTCTTTCATGACTAAGCCATCTCACTGAGATCAACCTGTGTGTGTGCGTGTGTGTGTGTAGGCTCCAAAAGTAACGATTGCTCAGAGTTTATTCCCACATACTCTCTCCCTCTTCCCGCCCTCGCCTCCCCCCCGGCCCGGTGAGCAGCAAAGCATCAGAAAGCAGGGAAGGACGTGATGCTACTTCACTTCAAAGGCTGTGGGACCTTTGGGACGCTTAGAGCTCCCTTCTTACCACAAACCAACAGAAATATTCACTAATCTGCTCAGGAACAACTCTAAGGAATCGCTGCACTGAAACGCTAATATAACAGCATGTGGTGAAACATTAAAGCTGCAGGATGTAATTTTTATATTAAAAAAAATATTTATATGTTGTTTTAGGTGTTGGTTGAATTTGTCACCATGTCGTGACGGTGCAATATAAGACAGATAAACTGTGGAAAAATCCCAGTGCTAACTAGAAAGAGCCAATGAGTGGGCAGGAGGATGGCCTTAGCACTGTCAATCAACCTCGTGTATATGCTGCTCACACACTCTGCTGTTCTCGCTGCGACGCTGCAGCTGGTTCACCACAACAAAGCCTAACGCTGGTTAGCATAGACGAGCATTATTGATAGCACTAAGACCCTCCACCTGGCTCTGATTGGTTGGATTTGACCAATCACATTACTGTCATTTCTTCAGACAGTAACAGTAGCTCCATAAGGAGGTGATGGGAATCTTATTTTTATTTAGCAGGTTATCTGTCTCATATCATACTGTCACGACATGATGACACTTCTAACAAACATGGATAAAACATATTTTGGTAACTTACATCCTGCAGCTTTAGCAGCAGTTTTTATTCGTCTGTTCAAGCCGATTATATTTGGATTTTCAGCGCGCTCTGACAGGAACTGATGTGGATCTGCCCTGCAAGGCGTTTTCAAAAGGTTAGCAGCTGGGGAACAATACAGATATATTAATATGCGCATAGAAAATAGATCTCTGAACAAACTAACCATTAAAATCAAGAGCAAACTCGGAAACATGAGCATGTTACCTCTCTTTCATTCACCTGTTCTCAGGAAACACACCAACACATAACAGTACAGTAGTTGTGTCTTAAAAACTGTCTCTGAGCTAAATCCAAACACACACACACACACACACACACACACACACACACACCTGTGAGATCAGTGTGGGCGGGTTAATCAGAGTAAATCGCTGACACTAATCCATGGCCCGTCTCACCCGCTCCTGTGTGGGCAGCCTGAACGTGGCTTTTCAGCCTAAATAGACGGAGAGCTGAGAAAATATGAAGTCATTGCTGCATTACACGATTTCTACACCAGGGGGAGGGCAACTCTTACTATGGAGGAAAGCGATGATTGTATTTCTCTCTGTGCGGCTCGCTGCACCGATCAGCAGCGTCATCACTCTGACTGAATGTGGCCATTAAAAGAAAAGTGATCACATTGGAAAACTCCAAGAGGGATTTCAAACCCGAGGTCGATAAACTCTGCCAGCGCACTTCTTTGGCTACATTTGTTTCTGCTGCTGTGCAATAATGACTCCATGCGGATGCACCGCAGAGACGCTAAAGAAGTTGGAGGAATAAATAAAAGAGTGTGCCGGTCGAGTTTCTGGTTTAAGATTACATGCGCAACCTTTTAATGTCAATACATGCCCTCCACACTGCTGAAATATGACCGGATGTTTAGTTTTTAGTGTCTAAAGTTTTTGCAACGAAGGCCAAAACTGCGAGGTCGAAAACACTTGTGGGTCACGAAACGCTATCTTTAAATAAAAATTCAGCATCCAAAATGTTACTGAAAATAAAAATAGTTTCTTATTTATTTATTTAGTTTTGTAAGAGGGATCTTTAATTCTTTGTTTTAACCCTTTTGTTTACAAATGGGGTCCAACCGACCCCACACCCGTAAAACTGGTATCGTTTCCCTCAGTCCTCGCGCGCACAAGGGTTAAAACATTGTCACCTTCCTAAAATAGTGACCAAGGCCATTGTTTTGCCAAATGTGATTTTAGCAACAAAAAAAAATTCATGATGTATCAAACTCCTACAGACCATTTTATTCTTTACCAGGTTTAAATGATTCTGAGTAGCATCGCAAAGTCTAAATGAAAAACTGTCGAGAGTTTAAAATGAAATTCTGTTTATAAAGGACTGCCTCTAATTTCTCTGCTAAAACCTCTCATGATACAGGTTGTAAATAACCTTGATGAAACAAAACATTCCTCTTAATGCCTTTATCCACATTTCATCTAAATTGCCTTTTAAGAGAACAACACACACACACTCACACACCTGAAACAACAGAAACCAAGGACAAGATGTCAAATCAATGGCCTCAGCAGAGATGGACGCTAATAAAAGAATAGCTTAGCGTAGAAAGTAATGGGAGCAGAGAGACTAATAATAGGCAGAAAGATGTTTAGTCTGACTTTGTTTTTTCTTTTAATTCAAGAAAAGATGTTGCCGTTGCAGGAACGTGTGCAGATTACAAAGCAGCTGCTTCACATTTACATAAAGGTTCAGCAGAAGTCGCCTCCAGTCTGTGAGAAAGTCCACTTCGTCTCTCCATCACCTGGTTCTGAAACCCAGCCGAGCCGACGGCAGAGATCTGACGCTGCTGGTTCCCCACAGTGGACCCTTCTCTGTCGCCCCAATGGCAGTAAGATTCTCTTATCTAGTTCTACGCTGCGGCCGATGGATTTTCCTCCAGCACGGCGGCATCGATCTGGGGGGCAGGTGGATGATCAAAGATAATCAATGCTGTCAGTCTCCATCGTGGTTTCTTCCACCTCAGCTATCTGCAGAGCTAGACGGGAATAATTGACAGTGGTCGCTCCAATCAGACGGCGTGACTTAAAAAAAAGCTAAAAAAAAAAAAACTAAAAGGGTAATCTGTTAGGAAAGCAGAGTTGAATAAAGTGGCGTTCAGAAGAATCTTTTACAGCTGCACTGTAAAACGCAATAAATGGGAAAAAAAAACCCCGTCTGATAAAATAAAAATCTAGTTTTCAAAACTTCAAAATGTGAGCATGTGCAAAGCTTTACATCTTAATTTTACACAACTGGAGCATGTTGAGCTGGTTCTACTAGTACATGTAACTCTATTGTCAAACCGAACAAGTTATTTTTGTTTTAGTTTTCATTAAATTAACTGATTGACTAACTATTTTAGTAAATGTAACTTTATTTTAATTCCTGTATGTAAAACCCCAATGAGATCCGGATCTCGTTTTCAGGAGGAACCTGGACAGAAATCAGCAACAAACAACAACCTGGTTACACAAAACTAAAGCAAATTAAAACATAAAATCACGATGCAACTTAAGTTAACTCCATAAATCTGATGAAGCTGTGGAGTCTACATTTCACCTGAAACATCTTAAAACTACTTTATGTGGTAAATAAAAAAGTGCTTAAATTAGTTGCTGCTGGTGGTAGCACAATGCACATTACTTCAAATGAACTAAGTCAATTTTAGGATCTCTGTTTATTTAAATGAAGTGGTTAGTATAATTATGTAAAAAAAAAAAAAGCAGTTAAATCCAACTAATTAAATAAAAGTCATCCAAAAATTCACTGGAATATATATATAAACATTAAAAATGTTCCTCTACTGTCTCTTGTATAGCTTTCACACAGTCATAGTGTTACTGTTGTGTTTGTTGCTTACATATTTAAAAGTGTCAAACTCAGGAAAAAAGCTCTTTCAAAAACATGTAGCTCACTTTTTTATTTTTGCCTGAAGATGAATAAAACCTTTTAGGAAATGAATCCTGAGTGAGGCTATCACAATTCGTGTTGCCATAGCGATGTTTTTCTGGCCTCCTCATCACATCTGTCAGGAGGAGGCTCATGGTTATTGGATTTTATTATCCCTGCAGGGAAATTTTGGGGCCCCGGTGCCGGTTTTCCTAACATGGTAATCACCTTCAAATGAATACACTGCGACAGAGACCAACATGAATAAAACGCCAAAACTGTCCGAAATAATTACCTTCTAAAACGATCATTAAAGGGGTGAAAAAATAAATAAATAAATAAAAAAGACGGGTAATCAGAATTTTACCAGACAATTCTGATCACAGCCTGATCTCACCATTCAGAAAGCCACTTATCTCATCAGCTACAAGCAATTTCAACTTCAACATGTAAGCA